TGGTCCCTGCAGGTGCTTGCTCAGCTCCCGAGTCGGCATCTCAGCGAGGATGTAGTTAGAAGCAGGATCTTCAAACTAACTCCCATTTTCACTTCTTTCAACATGAGAGAGAGGTGTTTTGTTCGTTTTTGGTTTTAACTATTCTGTGTGAGAGCAGTCTTTTTATTCAGAGTTTCAGGGGGGATTCCATCTCACTGATCTGGGGAAGGTGAACGCGCCTTCGTGGAAGGGATGCGTCACCTGAATTAACTCATTTGTGGGCGTGCCCGCCTCCAGGCAGGCACACTCCCTTGCTCGCTCTAGTAGGTGGATTTCTTTTTTTTATATATTTTATTTTATTATTTTTTAAAATTTATTGAGTTATTTTTCAAGTACAGTTTTCTTTTGTCAATTTCTCCCATCCCAACCCCCCCTCCGCCCCATCTCCCCACCTCCCTCCCAACCCCCCCCCCCCCACAGACCTCATCCCTGTGTCTTTCATACTTGTTCTTCAAAATCCCTCCTCGTTTTTCCCCTTAAATTCCCTTCCCTCTCCCCTCTGGTCGCTGCCCACTTGTTCTCTATTTTAGTGTCTTTGTTTTTATTCTATTTGCTTGTTTATTTTGTTATTTAGCTTCCTGTTAAAGGTGAGATCATATGGTATTTGTCCTTCAATGCCTGGCCTATTTCACTCAGCATAATGCTTTCCAGTTCCATCCATGTTGTTGCAAAGGGTAGTAGCTCCTTCTTTCTCTCTGCTGCGGATTTCTGATCGCCAGCCTCCTTTATTCATAGTCACGTGTCTGTGGCTGAGGAGTGAACTTAGGCCTCCTGGAGTGCTTCTTTTCACTCATATACACAAGTGTGCACATACATGTGTTGTTTGTGTGGGTCACTTAGATACCCCAAACTCCAGTTAACTAGAGACATGTGTATCCCTGTCCTCACACAAGGGACACACACACACACCCCTCCCCCCTTTCTGAATTCTTTTTATCCTCATTGGACCCTAAAACTTTGTTTTGAAAACCCATGTTCAAAAAGTAATTTTCAAATCTTAGTGCTCTAAAATTTTTTAAAAACTCACATATACCTTTTTTTTGGTTCCTGAGTACCTGGCCGGATTTTTTGAATAAGAGAGAACCTTGTGAACACTGCTAAAGTTTTATGTCAATGGTTCAGCTACGTATGCGTACTTTATCAATTTTTTAAACTGTTTTTGATGTAATTCTTCAGCATTACTGATACTGTTTCTTCATCTATGCAGAGAAGTGTTTTAAAATTTATGTCCTTGCTGGTTTAAGGCAAAAATGTGTTACAAATTTTCAAAAATGAACCTTCTAGTGTATTTCTTGCTCTGTTGAACGATTGCGCCAGGTGACCCAGCTAAGTAGTGAGCCTGTCCTTTGGCTGTTCCTACATCCCCCGTCCCCCCAGGGTCCCCAGTCAGCCATTGTGACGAAGTGGTTCACCAGTAACTTAATCCCGAATTTTCTACCTCCTTCGGAGGTTCTTCCGGGCCTTCTGAACTGGCCGCGAGTGACTTTTCCTGTGTGGGTCATTAGGGCTCTTGAGTTGTTTTTGGAAATGAACTTGTGCTGCACCTGCTACTGAGTGTGTTGAGTTCCACCTGCAGACTGATAGGCACAGGTTACCCAGTCGAGGAGAGAGGATTGATTTGGCCTTAACAGAAAGGAACTTTTTGTTGTTGTTGTTGTTGTTAAACATTTTATTTAATTTTAGAGAGAGGGGAAGGGAAGGAAAAAGAGTGGGAGAGAAACATCAATGTGTGTTCCCTACTGGGGACCTGGCCTGCAACCTAGGCATGTGCTCTGACTGGGAATTGACCCGGTGACCCTTTGCTTCACAGGCCCGTGCTCAATCCACTGAGCTACACCAGCCGGGGCAGAAAGGAACTTTTTAAGTTGTAAAATTAGGTGTTAAAAAGCAGATTTCCCCCCATTATTATCTTGAATTGTACAAACAATATCATCACCACATTGCTGAGTTTAAACTTGGTTGTATTGTGTATAATAACACCTATTTGTCTTTTGGTCCTGTGTTTTTGAATAGTCTGTGGCTAAGTGTGAAACTATTTGTGAAAATTAAAATGTTACAGTAAGTAAAATGTCCTTTAGCCAGAACTCAAGATTGGAGTCAAGACTGAATTGCCGCTCATTCCTTGTTTGGAGAGAGCTTCTGTTCCGACTCCGTCACCTCTAGGACGCCATTTCAGCGACACGGACACTTTTCCTTTATTGGAAACTGTAATTCACATCCTTTGCTCTATGGGTTCTAGCCAGGACAAATTAAGATCAACCATTGTCTTTGGCTGTGGTAATTAAACACAGAAAACTAACCCTCAAATAGCTATTGTTCTTTATGATAATATAGTAGGAACAAAGCAGGTTTACTTGCTTCTCTTTTTCCCCCAAAGAGAACTGTTGAGCACCACACGGTGCCCCTAAAATACCGTCATGTGTCCATGGGTCAGGAAAGGACCTTTTTTGTATTCTGTGGGGACACAGACACTTGTGTAGGAATATGGCCTCTGTGAATTGAGTAAGAGTCATAGTCCAGAAAATTCGGTGGCAGGTGACACCTTGCCTGATCCGAGTTGCTACTGGATGTGGTGCCTTTGGTACAACTTGCCCATTGTCCGACCCCCAGAATGCTTGCCAGGAAGAGAAAATGTAATTGTGTGCCTGAAGTTCATGATTCATGTAGACCTCTTTTATATAATGCTTGCAGGGTGCTTATGATGTCTGCGGAAAGACAAGTAGCCACTGTCACAAAGAACCATGTAGAGCAAATTTTAAGAGTTGATTTTGGATCAAATCCCCCTACCCACCCCCATCTTAAAAGGATCTTCAATGAAGTTTTTCTTTGCTTCTCAGCTTCATGAGTAAACTGCAGTAAATTATTTTTAAATCAAGTTTGCTGAGTAAACTTTTAACTAAAAAACAACCCAAAACAGTTTCTGTAAATTGCTAAGATACTTTCTCTCATTCAGACTCTTTGGTGAGTTATATTGACTTTTGTTAGTTTTCTTTTTAAAAGCCTGTTTAATAAAACCTACAGAATTGACGTGTTGATACCCTTTTTCTTGAATTTATATGTTTGAGTTAAAACTTATATGGGTGGGTTTTAGTTGGTGAGTTTATCTGTTAAAACTGCCCTGGAGACTCAGCGCCTGCCCTACAGGTGGCCGGGCGGCCGCGCTCTTATTGGAGACGGACGGATGCAGGTCACGTGGAGCCTCCCGGCATGCAGCCATTTAACTACCGGAGCAGCCTGGGGTTTTCATGCGAATATCTCAACGTTACTTTATAAAAAGCCTTGGGAGATGCCCTTTTAATATTTTTAGATAAATATGACTTTGGATAGATAAAATAGTTCCTCCAAATCGTTTACATTTTCTCAAATTTAACCTCCTACCTTTACTGTATGGACCCCTTCTGCCAAAAAAGACATCTTTTCCCTGTAAAGTGTTAACCATTCGTGTATGACAGTATTTTTACATTATTATATTACCTTTCTAAAGAAGGAAGGAATTCCTTTCTGTTCATTAGACAAGTTCTACACTTTCATTTATGCAGACATTGAAGTGTGCGTGTCATTCTCATTTTTAAAGTTTTTGATCTTTTTGTTGTTACCGATTACATGAGGTTAATATATTTTGTGGTTCTCAAAATAGCAGGCTCTTAGGAAATCTGATGAAATGTATCAGTGCATTTGTTACCTAATTTGTCATTAGAGGACAAATTAAATGATTAATGTAAAAAAATGTGTGAAGGAGATGAGGCAAAAGTTAGTAGGTAAGTTTAGATCGAATGACTTCTTTTTCTACACGTGGGGTAAACGAGTCCTTTATTAGATTTAAAGGAGCCTCATCCTTCTGGTTGTGAAGTCTCTTCCACTAGTATGTCATACTCTGCGCTGTTACTTTATAGATTGTAAGAGTTTGCTTTAGAAGCATTTATTTATCAACTGCTTTTTATACTAGTGGTCTACAAAACATTTAAAATATCTGCCGGGGCATTTCCTGGCACATTAGAACTCACAAATATGTCTGTTTGTCTCCAAGAGTGGAAGATAACTATTTCTTTATTCTCTTGTTTCCTGGATTAGATTTCAAGACTTCTGTTGTGACCCCAGACATTGTATATTAGGTCCAGTATTTATCTTGACCTATGACGCATTCAATTTTTATAGCCAGTGACATTGAAATGTCCCGTAATTCAGGGGCATTCTTTCTCAGATGCTAAACGTAGGTCTGCCTTGTACGTAATGTGTAGAAACAGATTAGTTTCTACACATTAGTTTCTCCTAACAGAACCATGTTGACTTGGATGCCGGTGGTTTTTTTTTTTAACCCCAGATGAAAAGTGAAGGTGACCTCTGTTGCCTTAGAAATTCAGATAAGTAGGTTAACTATGTATTAAGTTCAGCGGAAGTTTGTCTTCACCGGTGCCTGGCAGAGCCAGGCCATGGAATGAGAGTGGCAACTTCAATTAAGCAAATTTGATAAATGCATTAACATCCATCAGTCTAGTAATGAGGTTCTCATGCTCTCTCTCTCTCTCCTGTTTTTCATTTCCAGTGTTCTATTTAGGTGAGTGTTTGAATTCTGATTTTTCATTTCGGTTCCCCCTCTGCACTTCATGAATCAGTACCCCGCAAAGAATGTCTCATTGTCTTAGAAAATGTCGAGCTTAGGTGCCTTTCCAGGTGCTCACTAAACACTTGTTTTACTCAAGCTCTTCATGTATAAATGTTTGTTTTTCCTTTATCGTTGGTGTTTGCCATTTGTTTCAAGTAAAGCCTTTGGAGATGACGGCAGTATTATGTTGCAGTCTTTCATTTGCTCTGTGTTATGGAAAGCTTATATTTTATTTTGCTAAACAAAACGGAGACGCATCTGTAAATACGTGATAATTTTATGTTCTTCTCATGGTTTTATCTCTAGCCAGCTAAATATTGAGATAACGTTCATCTGTAATGTTTTCCTCCCTTTTTAGGGCCAACATTGACTAGACAAAATTCACAGCTACCTGCCCAAGTTCAAAATGGCCCATCACAAGAAGAATTGGAAATTCAAAGAAGGTAAACTTCCTGGTTACTGTTTATCCTTTTTCATTCCATTGTGGAAGGTCAAACTATGAACATCCTAATGTTGAAAGTACATGGTCTCCTTAGCCATTTGAAAGTCAGGACTCTTATTAAGTTGCGGAATCAGCATTAATAAATTAGCACATTCTTGTTACGCTGAACAGACGGTGTTAAAATTTTGTAGCTGCTTTTTTTGTCAAAAGCATGCTCATATATACTTAAATATTTTATATAGCATAAAATGTATGTACTTCAAGGAGTCTTATTTTTATTGTAGTTACAGAAAGTTGAAATAATGCTGGCCTTTTGTCTGAGGCATTGATCTTGAGACTTTACCATTGATCGGGTGTAGTAATGGAACACAAAATCACTCTCTTTATGACCACGCTGCTGGCTGAGTGAGATCAATAACATTATCTGCCATCATTTCAATGCAGTTCATCAATACATTTGAAATTATAATACAGACTCATTTCGGGGTAATTTTTCTGAATTAGCAGAATCTCTGAGTGATAAGCAACTTGGTAACAAAGTTGTTTTCTAAAATTCAGGTGTATTCGGTAACAAACATCGAGCTGTTGAAGCCAGTTTAAGCACATTCAGGCTTTTTGAGATGAGTTTGACCATCCCCCGATTCTGGGGCATTGGGAACTGTCGCGTGGGTGGGTTTTTCCACCTGAGAAGCACTCGTTTCGTGACAAGCCGGCCTTTCTTCCTGTGGCCTTTGACTTGGACCTTATATTTGAAACACTCCTCCTATTCTCTGTGCTGGTCAGGCATTGTGTTTCCCTGACAGTCAAAGGAACGTCTGCCCTGGTTCCGTGTCCACTGCTTTGGCATAATATTGCTTATCTCTCTCTTTTTTTTTTAAATTCTATTTAGTTATTTTTCAAGTACATTTTTTTTGTCTATTTCTCCCATCCCAGCCCCCAAATTGCTTATCTCTTGAGGAGGGTCCGCCAGGACCTCCCAAAATGCTTTTATTTGTTCACTCGTTTGTTTATTCCTTCCTGCCACAGTCTGTATATTCAGGTAGCTCACTCTTGAAATAGCCTCCCAATTTGGTGAAAATCGAACTCTTCTGAGTGATGCTGTCATGAACAGATTTTATAAATAAAATTAAGTTTCTCTAGAAACAAGGGAAGCTTAAAAGATAGAATAATTTCAGTTCCCTATTGAGAGTTTTAAACGTAGCAGAGTAATTCCAAGAGTTATAAGCTGTAATGATACTGTACAGACACACACGTGCACCAGGAAAGTAGTTAATAAAAAATGATCGCAGCATTATTGGGACTAACACATTTATAGAAAACTAAGAGAACCCAGGAAAAGCCCAAAATATAACACATAATTCTGGTAAGTATGGCGGGCAAGGAAGTCATCCAAGGCAGTTCCTGGAGGCCAGGACAATTCAGGATGGAGACACAGACCACGGAGGGCTTGCTGGCTGGTGGGCCGCAGAGGGAGACCTGCTGCACGCAGGGTTTGCAGCGTGTGACGTGCTAGTCGCAGTGGTAGTCAGGAGGCAGTGCTGAGCGGAGTCTTAGTGATCGTTACGGAAACCGCACGCCTCTTAGATATTTCGTCTCCAAAGTGCCAGCCCGAGCGGCGCTCACCTGGACCTGAGGCTTTTCTGTTTGTCTCTAAGGAGATACTTAAGGGATTGTTTGGTTTTTAAAGATTTTATTTATTTATTTTTAGAGAGAGGGGAAGGGAAGGAGAAAGAGAGGGAGAGGAACATCAGTGTGTGGTTGTCTCTCATGCAATCAATCCCCCTATTGGGGGCCTGGCTCGCAACCCAGGCATGTGCCCTGACTGGGAATTGAACCAGTGAGACGACCCTTTGGTTCACAGCCCGTGCTCAATCCACTGAGCGGCACCAGCCAGGGCAACACTTAGGGGCTTGAAAACTGGAGGTGCTGTTTATACTTGTTTAGTTGAAGGCCTTAACTTTGTCCTGTTGAAGAGTGAAATCCAAATTTCTGAAAAACTGGCATGGATTTTTACATTCTTTTCTGTCTGTAGTCATGCACGGCTCCTCTTCCTTTTAGGTAAACCTTCTGAACCCATTTCTTTGTCTTACGATATTAATTAATCATCTCTGTTCTTTCCCCACCGTTTGCGTTGTGTCCCCACAAAGCTGTCGGACACGCTGCTTCGCGTCTGGTTTAAAGTTTCTCCCTCCCTTGCTGTTCTTTTCTGTCACAGAAAAGACCCGGAATTTACTTATAAAAAATTTGTGTACTTATTCTTACATGTTTAAATTTCAGCCACCTTCAAAGTACTCTCCGTTTGATGGAATACACTTATCGAGATGTTTTTTTAACTGCTTGAAACAGTTTTGGAACTTGATGATTTTGTTGACACTTTTTCGAGCTTTTGCTGTTTTTTGTTTCACCTCTTCCACATCCACAAAATGTTTCCCTTTGAGGACTTTTTTTTTCATCTGGGGAAACAGACCAAAAAAAAAAAAAGTTGCTTGTAACAAGAGAGGGTGGGGCATGAAGGTCATGCCATTTTTGGTCAAAGACTGCTAAACACTCAGCTCAGGGTGTGGGCAGGTGCGCTCGTAAATCGCCCATCATGAAATGGGCAAATGAGCATTGAAAGAGTCTTCAAAAAAAACATTCACTGACGGAACACAGCCTCTCACTACGACACCAGCTGGTCCACTGATACAGATGAGCTCCTAGAACACTCACCTAGTGGGGGAGCCTGTACTACAAGGGGCTGCCCCTCTTGAAAATAATTCTCATTTTTGGGGGGTGGTCTCCCCTTATATGTACAATCTTTTATGAGTTTAACTTTATTTTTGATGAAAGTAAAATCGAGTTGATAAAACATTTCCCCTAGCTGTTAAATCTTACTAGTCCAACGCCTTTACATCAGTAACATGATGATAGTGTAGTGTAGTTTTCTGTTCGTAAGTGTGTCCTTTCTAATACTGGTTTTTGATGCCTACTCATTAATATTTGTCTTCCTTGGCTGACTGTGATGCAGAACATATTCTGAGAACCATGAGTCAGTCCTCTGTTAGTCTCAACATAGGACTGAATTTAGTTAATATCTATAAATAGCTTGTGCATCACCCCTGCTACCTGGGAGTTATAAAAGGGGAGTAGCAGCCTCAATGTAGAACAGGGGCCAGAGCCATGAAGGTGTTCCGGCCTCAGATCAGCCTGCAGAGGCAGGATGGGCCCAGGGTCGACCGCCTTCTCCTGTGAGTACTGTCCCTGGTCTCAGGAGCCCTCTGAGGGTGAAACTTGATTGTACTGTTTAGTTCTGTCCATTGTCATGTGTTTGCTAATCGAGATGTGAAGTGGCCACAGGACGTGGTCAGAACATATTTATTCCGTTGCATTTTCTGACAAGTGTCTGTAATATCAGAGTGTCACTGAATGTCACCAGCCTTTCCAGAACATCCTTCCTCGTCTGCCTTCCCACTTCATTACGTCAGAATTCAAATCACTCTTTATTTCCCTAACACTGTGTATTATAGGTAAGGCTGAATGAAACCCAGTTTTAATTTTTTAATGTATTTTATTTATTTGTGTTTTATTTATTTTTAGAGAAGAGGGGAAGGGAAGGAAAAAGAGGGAGAGAAACATCAGTGTGTGGCTGTCTCTTGCACATCCCTTACGGGGGAACCTGGCCTGCAAACCAGGCATGTGCCCTGACCCAGAATCAAACCGGCAACCCTTTGGTTCACAGGCCGGCACTCCATCCACTGAGCCACACCAGCCAGGGCCACAGTTTTAAATTTTGTTATTTATATTTTGCTTGCTTTAACATATCAACCTAAACTTGACTTCGAGTCAACTTAAAGTAAATATGTGTTTGAATATATACAAAAGCTGTTAATCTCATGGACGAGCGCTTTGTGTATCTCTGTGTTTGGGGACCCCTCTTGTGGGAGCAGAAACAGATATTTGGTGTGTGCGGGGAACTGTTTCTGATACTGTTTAGAAAATGTTCTTCTCTATCATTTTGGTCACCAGCACTGTAATGGTTTCTGAGAAAATACACATATTTCAAATTATTTTAAAATGAATATCCTCACTTCAGTGAAAAGGCACGCTGCCAGAATTTTTCCATAGTTCAGAGTTAGGGCTTCTGTGTTCCAAAAAGTCTTCAGGTGACTGTCCAAGGTGGAGGAGCAAAAGCAGGCTTGCGGTTTTACCATTTTCCATATGAACAGCTGTGTTGGAGACAGAACTCTAGGAAGGGGGCTCACATGTGCTTCCAGTCTGTGAGTTGGCAGTGACATTTCTAAGAAAAAGCAGAGTTTGTATGTTTGTAAACTGTCATAAAAATTTAGAGGACACGAAAAGTCAGATTTACATACCACCCAGCTCAGCGGGGATGGATACTAAAGATATGTAAGCTTGAATTTTTTTGTTTGGCACACTGCTTTGGGAAATATAGTTCGATGTGCAACTTTTTTAGTGAGCAGGCTAAAATGAGCTGGGATTCATAACACTTTTCTTTCTTACCCTCAAATCAAGAAAATAAAAAGCAGGATCTCCTGCAGCTGTCTGAGCTACAGGCTTCAATCGTCTGTCAGTGAACTTGGGAAATCTATGGCATTGTGTTTTTTCCCTACATCAGCAAATACTCTGTCTTACAGACCGAAAATCCTACAATATTATGACATACGGAACAATTTTCCCAAGTCAGCACACCCTTCATTGTAAATGCCATCATTCATAAGTCTTTCAGATTCATTTCACTCATACCCAGCCTTCTCCTACCTCTGACTTCAACTTCGTATTTTGTGTTGAAAGCGTTGTGTTGCCTAGAGAAGCAGCCATTAACTTGGGGGTGAAAAAAAAAGACCAAAAACTTGAGTAAGAAATGAGATGTAGTCTTAGAATACTATGTGGTCCAGCTGTGAATAGTATTTACATTATCCCAGGAATAACAAACTCAGAATGTTGAGTTAATCGGCAGAAATCAGTATTCTCCTGTGACTACTGGGAAAATCGTGTGTGTGTGGTGAGGGACTTGGGAAAGCCATGGTCTCATTAGAAAGTCAGTATGTGATACCTAAAGTCAAAACATGAGAAACATCCAGAGAGTTGACAATAATTGTCTTCGATGCGTTGGAAATGGGTGGGAGGGTTGGAGGGATGAACTGCTGGTTTTGTTACAAGTTCTAAAAACTATGTGCTTACATCATTTTAATAAAATGAGAATGTGAGAGGTGGCACGGGGATGCAAAACGACCTGGTAACTTGGATCTTTTCATCACTGATTTCTTAGTGCAGCTACTAATTTAAAGGGAAGCACTCTCCCTGAGTTTCTGTATTCAGACATTATTCTTATTAGAAAAATATGGGTGTATCGTGTGCCTTTTGGATTCAATAGATTGCTCAGAGTATTACATTTAAAATGCCCTTTAAAAAAAAACACGTTTTGAACTTAATATAAGACCTAGCTGAGTTTATTCACTAGGTACAAGTTTTTAAAAATATAATAGTTGACTTTCTCTGTCTAGTTTATTTTTAAAAAACATTCCTCTCAATGCACCTAATTTCTTGCCCTCCTCCCTGTGGTGACATTGTCATCCCTCAGATACTTGGTAGCCAGCGGTGCATCCAATAGCATAATGGAGTCGGTACTGTGTCTTAAAAATCCGATTTGGTTACTTGGTAGCCAGTGGTGTGAACCACTACCACTCAGAGTTAAGCACTGCCATAGGTTTCTTCTGGTTCTCTCCCGCAGTTACTGTTAAGTGTGCTGATCTGTCCAGAGAGAGGCTTTGTGTTTTTGTGAGAGAAGTGGGATTAATTCACTCATCGATCGGGTGGGCTTTTTCTTTGTTTTATAGTCAGTTTAGGAAACATGAAGGGGGGGAGATTACCGGAAGGGGTTACTGGTTTATTGGTGCTGCTGGGAGGGGCAAAGGATAGCGTACACCTTCCGTCATTTGGCTGCACCAGTGAGCCGCACTTGGCCAGTTTATTAGCCAGGCCAGAGAAAGGCCAGGCCAGTGTCAAATTTCTAAATCATTATTATTATGGCTCACATCTATCAAGTGGTCTTATGTTCCAGGTTCTTTGTATAGGGGTTTTAAGGCATTACCTCACTTAATCTTCCTCATAATGCTATGAAATAAATACATTATGTGTAGGATGAGGATAACTTTTTATCTTTTATTTTTTGAAGAGTTAGCTTTTAGCATCAAGAATAGCGTTTAGGTCCAGACAAGGATTGGGGACATTTTATTGTTCTTTTACATACGTGTATGGAAAGTAATAAACGAACTGTGTTTTAGATCCACATACATTGGGCCCCTGCAGGTTTTTAATATACGGAGAGTTAGTAGTAAGGAGGGATGGGTTGCTCCTTCCTAGATATTAAAGTACATGTATGTCAGACATCAAAGCATCAAGGTACCGGTGCTGTACCAGACAGACAGACAGACAGACCATGAACCAAAACGTTCTGGAGCCTCAGAAGCGGCTGCCACATGCATGTAAAAGCATCATCTTACATCGGGGCTGTCCGCTGTTCAGTGGTGTGTGAGGCAGAGCGCTACTGCACATCTGGAGCCCCAGGTGAGGTTCAGGTGGGCTGGGGGTTTCACCGTGAAAAATGAAAGTATGAAAAGAAAGTGCCGGTCCTAAGACACCCCAGGCAGATCACAGCAAGGAGCACTACTGCCAGATTTCTACAGGAAGATCAAAAGCTGTAATGCAAATCAAAACACATCTTTTCCCTTAGCGATCGTGTCGGTTGTGATCCTTAAGATGCCCTTAAAAAAGGGCTCCAGTGGGGGGGATGGAGGCCACAGGCCTACTGCAGTCAGCCGGAGGGACGGGGCTGGGCTGACGGGCCCTGCTCTCGGTGCCTCCTTAAACCGGGGACAGGCAAACAGGAGAACACTGTGCAGTGGTGAAAAATAAAGATGCAGGACTGTGCTTAGTGCCTTGGAACGCCCTTGGCAGTATATTAAATGGAAGAGAAGAAAACAGATTTGAAAACAGAATGGTAGGTAAATATTATTCTATTTTATTTATTTTTAAAAGTTTATATGTGTACTTTTACAGAAGGAAATGTCTGCAAGAATGAATGCCAAAATGTTAACGATAGTTCCCTCTGGATCTGAGACTTAAGATGCCTTAAACTGTATTTCTTTTCTTCTTACTTAACTCTGGGTTCATTTGTTTTTGTTTTCTTTTTCTTTCTTTTTTTTTTTCACTAAGGAAACTTTGTTTAAGCTATTCCTGTGATCAGCTATTATATTTTCTAAAATGAAAATGCATTACTTGTACAATGAAGCTTTGGTGTCATGTTTTAGGAAGGAAATTAAAATTTAGAATTTTTTTTATTGAGTGATTAAAGTAATGCCTTGGTCATTAAAGTGACATGTTCAATTATTTGCAAAACCCATTTATCTGCAATGTTCTTTTTCTTGGAAAGTACAGAATAAAATGAGACATGCCCTGACTGGTGTGGCTCAGTTGGACACTTTCCTGAAAAGCAAAAGGTCACCGGTTTGATTCCCAGTCAGGGCACAGAGCCTGCTTTGTGGGTCCCGGCCCCAGTTGGGGGTGCATGTGAGAGGCAGCCAATTGGATGTTTCTCTTCCTCTTTTCCTCCCTTCCCCCTCTCTAAAATAATAAATAAAATCTTTGTTGAAAAGCTAACTTTTTTTTAAGAGAGACATTAGTGTAATGTGCTGAAGCAGTCAGCCAAAACTGACCTAAAAGAAATTATTTTTGTTTATGTGAAACTGGTACGTCATCTCTGTTCAAAGTGGCCCTTCACGTGGGGAGAGATATCGATTGCGTGCTCTCTCCATGGCTTTGTACCTGAATCAGAAATGGGGTTCACAGGTTCTTTGTGAAACAGGGTTTTCGTGGTGAGTAGCCAGAGATGCATATTTTAAAACATTTTTGTACAATTTCAGGCAACTTCAGGAACAGCAGCGGCAGAAGGAGCTGGAGCGGGAAAGGCTGGAGAGAGAAAGGATGGAGAGGGAGAGGCTGGAGCGGGAGAGGCTGGAGCGGGAGCGCCTGGAACAGGAGCAGCTGGAGAGAGAGAGGCAGGAGCGGGAGCGGCAAGAGCGCCTGGAGCGCGAGCGGGAGCGGCTGGAGCGCGAGCGCCAGGACCAGCTCGAGAGGGAGCAGCTGGAGTGGGAGCAGGAGCGGAGAATGGCCGCCGCCGGTAAGGAGTGTGCACGGTACCTGGGGTCTCCGTGTCTGCGCTTGGAGGACGGATGGTATTTGGTGGAGTCGTGTATTACAGTGTTTCACACCTGAGATGCCGGGGATTAAACAGTTCGATTGGAAATTATGAAAAAGTTCATAAAGTAGCAATTGCTGCTTTCGCATTTTCTTTTTATTTCTCTCTGTATTGCTTTTATTGCTTAGAGACTTAAAGAAAGCCCTTGGAAATTTTTATTCTGGCATTCTAACTGTTCTAACTCCCTATAAATTGGCTGTAAGGTGTAAGTGTTTTTATGAAATTTTTTATATTGGAAGAACTTGGGCTGTATTTCCCTTTAGAGGTTTGCTCAAATTGTCTTGACTACTGCGTTATTATAACATCACTCATCAAGACATTTACCTAATTGTTTCCTAAGTTTTTGAGTGAGGAATTAAAAACAGTCAGTGAAAAATATCTTCTCCAAAACCAACGTTATTTCAACATATTTTTTAGTATTGTGAAAATTATTAAACAATGGAATGTATGGAAAGACTCATGGGTTAAGTATGACGGAAAGTTTGAGGCCTTTTGGCATTGATTGAAATGAACATTTATTCTGGGGTTTAACAATTAGTTCTTATTCTGTATGGCCTATATGAAAAGTCTCAGTGTGGGCTGGTTAAGTATTGGTTGACTGGTTTGTTGTTCGACTTAATTTTTTGCCTTTACCTCCGTAGTTATTTTGGGGGGTTACAACCAACAAAGCAAAACTTTTCCACAAATAAGCATTGAATAGGAGGTTCCTCTGCTTTTATTATAAAGGCTTGCCAGTTTGGCTGCTTGTTTTTTTTTTAAAAAGTGGAACTTCATTCTTCTGTTTATAGCCTTTATTGGTATAATCTTAATGTACTTTTGATGGACTAAAAAAGGGAAATTAAAGCTACAGGTACTGTGTTTTTCTTGTAAAGGATAAGCTAATCAGCTTAAATGATCAGTCTATGCGATAGAAAGCTTCGTCCTGTTCTGGATCTCAGCAGGGTGTTTATGAGTGGGAATATGCCCGGGTGGAGTCAGTTGCTTGCACACATGCCCAGGTCTCTGTACTAACGGTAGTCTACTTTTATACATTTTTGTCTGAATGCTGGTTTTGTGGCTTTACTAGCTCCCTTTTTCTCTCTCCTTTTTTATCCTGTCTTTCGCCGCTGCTTTCCACCTCTGTCCAGCGCCACCTTCCGACAGCTCCCCGTATAGCTCTCCACCTCCCGAGTATGCCGGTGGCCAGCCTCCTCCGGCACCTCCTCCATCACACGCTAAAGTCATCTCCGCTGCTGTGCCAGAGGCTACTCCTGATTATGCCGTAGTGACCGCTTTGCCACCTCCTTCCACACCCCCTACACCACCACTGCGGCACTCGGCGACGCGTTTCGCAGCCTCCCTAGGGTCAGCCTTCCACCCTGTCCTTCCCCATTACGCTGCAGCTCCTCGTCCTCCGAACAAAACCTCTCGGCCTTCTTCTCCTGTGAACACACCCTCTTCCCAGCCTCCAGCTGCGAAGCCCTGTGCCTGGTCTACTTCCAGTTTCTCGCCCCTCCCTCCCTCCCCCCCAGTAATGATTAGCAGCCCCCCAGGCAGAGCTGCTGGGCCCAGGCCTGTCCTCCCTGTCTGTGTTTCTTCTCCTGTGCCCCAAATGCCTCCGTCACCGACGGCACCCGACGGGCTGCTTGACTCTGTCCTACACCCAGTGTCTCCGCCGCCTACCTCAGGGCCAGCGCCGCCACCGCCGCCGCCGCCACCGCCTCCCCTCACACCACTGTCACACTGTGGACCTCAAGCTTCTCCTCCTCCGAGCACCCCTGTTGCCTCAACTCCCTCATCCAAGCCTAGTGTTCTCCCTTCTCCCTCTGCAGCTGCCCCTGCCTCTGTGGAGACTCCTCTAAACTCTCTGCTGGGAGACTCCTCTGCTTCTGAGCCAGGCTTGCAGGCAGCCTCTCAGCCGGCCGAGACTGCAGCCCCACCGGGTAAGGCTTCCCTCGTTGCTGCTCACGGCCAGTCACTGGGAAATGTCCCGAGTCGGCGTCCGGAATCGCCTAGAAGAGCGGGGCGGGGGTTTTGACCGTCGGACATCCTGGCGCCACAGTACCGTATTTTTTCTAATTTACAGAATTGGCATGCTTTTCTTTTTCTGCTGTCTCCATCGTATTTGGAGGATCCATAGGAGGACTTTTCATATTGAACTGGACTTTGGTATCTTCAGCAGGATCACAACTGGGGGTGTTTTCCAGTATTGAAAGGCTTCCTTAATACATTTCTCTTAAATTTCACTGAAAAAAAATAGCAATGATGTGCTTGAACCACACAGCACATACATGTTCTGACTTGTCTCCGTTGCATTTCTGTAGACCTCAGAGGTTTATTTAGTGCCCAGCTGTGGTCGTTACATATATACCACCCCAGGGTTTCCTCTGCAGCAGTTCCAGTCTTGACCCTGTTTCACTTCGGCCTTTTCTTTCCTGTGTTGAGTTCCCATATTGGACTTCCAGGGCCGTTGCTCTCCCAAGGACAGAGTGTAGCCTCCCTTCACAGCAGGGTTTGAAGAGGGTGGCAGGCTGGGTATCTGTCCCAAAGGGTTCCAGGGTCCAGAGTTACAGGCCGTCGTGGGCTAAAGAGAGAGAGAGTTGAGAGAGAATAGCATCGTCTACAGTTACTCCTTCCCCCGTCCCACTCCCTTGCCCGAACCTTGCTGTCATGGTAACATACTTCTAAGTATGGATTATTTGTGAGTAGGGAAGGACCTGGCTCTGTAAGTAAATACGAAGATGCTTAGCAACCCTCCCCACCCCCCTTTAAAATAGGATTTAGCAGGAATTACAGGAAAGAATAGGACAACAAGTTGGTGCCTACCGAGAAACAGAGTTAGAGTCTGGATTTAAATACACCTCTTCTTAAAAATCTTAGATCTCCAGATAAGGCTTGTTCTTGCTATGTGTGTGTTTTTCTTGCTGACTCCTCTGATTTGTATACACACGGAGTCAGCGTTCTAGTTTAGTATCACTGTGGCCCCAGTGTGGACCAGAGGCACAATTATTAGCCGGGTCAGTCCGACGGCCACTCCTGGAAGACTGATGCCCCGACACGGTACTGGAAGCGATTTTTGCTTTTAGCTAGTGGAACTGCTCAAAGGCAGCAGTGTGCAGATGGCATTTTATTTGTCCCCAAACACCCCGTTTAAACCTAAAGGAAGGGGGGAGTACCTACAAGTTGGGTTTTCTGATAATAAGTGATCCTTCGCTCTCTTTGCGATTTTGGAAGAGTTGGGCATTTTTCCCTTGCTCTGTCTTCTAGCCTGAAAACACCTCTGTGCCACAATTTCTACGTCATTAAATGATTTCTGGTAATTATTTTGAGGTTTTTAATTGTATAGATTCTTTAACTTCAGTAATTTTTAATTCTCGCTGCACATTGGAATTGGATCTGTAATGATTTAAGATGTTGATGTCTGGGACCCAGCATCCCTGATGCTTTTGGTCCAGCCCCTTTGGTCGTCTGTAAACAAATACATATGTATATGTTTTCGCTACTGAAGAATTTGTGTCAACCTTTAGGGTTTACACAGATTATGTGGGGTTATTTCAAATAGTGCCAACTGCCATCATATACAGTGGTTTGTTTTTTCAGGGATACTGACTTCCAAATTTTATAAGCATTTATTTTGTGTATTTACTAAATCCCTGTGAACAAAAAAGAAATTCTGATTAAATTAGGTGATCTGTTGCGTAGTTCTATTTAGTAAGACTCTAACAGTCAAGTGAGTAGTTGTACACTTTGTTTTTACATTTTAGTCTTTTTCATACTGACTAGACTCTCAACATTATGACGATAAGCTCGTTAATGTGCAGTAAATGTTTGAGTTGTCCGTTAAATGTAGCGTGGCAGTCTACTTACAGCGCCACTTAAGGCGTTGATTGTCCTTCAGCTCTGTCGCTGACCGTCTCATTTCACATTTCTTTCTCTCAGGCATGGTCTTGGGACCACCCGCACCTCCGCCCCCCCCTCCACTCCCACCTGGTCCTGCCCAGGCTTCAGGGGCGCTTCCTCCTCCCCCAGGACCACCTCCTCCTCCTCCACTTCCATCCTCAGGGCCTCCCCCGCCCCCTCCCCCACCCCCTCTCCCCAACCAGGTCCCCCCTCCTCCCCCGCCTCCCGCTCCTCCCCTCCCGGCTTCTGGATTTTTTGCGGGACCTATGTCAGAAGATAATCGCCCCTTGACCGGACTGGCGGCTGCAATTGCTGGAGCGAAACTTAGGAAAGTGTCACGGGTAAATGCACTTCCACATTACTGTGTTTTTGTGCACGTCTTGTTCTTGCTTAATACCTGAAATACTGAATTTACCGTGCTCTGATTTTATGAATCCTGTGTTAATAATGTCATTGGAATTTTTTTAAAAAATTAAAAAGATTTTTTAAAAAGGAAAGATTTTAAATTTAGGGGAAATGTTGCTAGGATAATATAATTTCTGTAAGGCCAACTGCTAGACTCACCAGTTAGCATTTTGCTATATTTCCTTTACTCTTTTCCCCGTGTGTGTTTCCTGCTGTGTAAACACACACACACACACACACACACACACACACTTTCCTTTTTGTCTTGACTGAGAGTAAGTCATAGAGAGCAGGTCCCGGTTCCTCCCAATACTTGGTTGTGTGTTTTGTAAGACCAGGGACGCTCACCTGCGTGACCACGGAGGAACCATCAAAGTCAGGACGTTCCCGATAGAATACCATCATCTATAAGTCTGTTCAGATTTCATCTGTTGTCCAGTCGTGTCTTTCATGGCAATTTTTTTTCCTAGTCCAAGGTCACTCATTATATTAGTTGTAGTGTCTCTTTAGTGTGCTTTAATCTGTAATAGTTCCTCAGTTTTTCATGACACACGTTTCTGAAGAATGCAGAATCATTATTTTGTAGCTCATCCTTCAGTTTGGTTTATCTGACGTCTCCTCAAGATCAGATTCAGGTTGTGCATTTTGAGGGGGTGGGTTATGCATTTTTCACCCCTAAAGTCACGTGTCCTATTCAGTGTATCACACGCAGGGTTGTGCGGGACATTTTCCCCGTGACGGGCGATGTTGGCTTTGAGAAAATTCGTGTCACTATATAATAAGGCCAATGCTCTTCACCCCACTAGTTCTTACGAAGTTTTAGAATAGAGGTTTTATTGAGGTTAATGCTGATATATTCTGTTTTGAATATAATATAGTCATAAACACAAAAGTGCTTGACGTAGGAGTTTATTGTATGTGTATGTTTCCTTAAGGTGGAGGATGGCTCTTTCCCCAGTGGGGGCAGTGCCGCTGGCTCGAACGCGGCCTCGTCCAAAGCAGACGCGGGCCGTGGAAATGGGCCCCTTTCCCTGGGGGGCAGCGGTTTAATGGAGGAAATGAGTGCCCTTCTGGCCCGGAGGTGAGTGAGAGAGCTTGTGCATGTGTTCAGAGTTCAGGGTCTCTCCTTAATTTTCTCCCAAAATACAATTTAACTAGATGCCGTTCTTCCTTCTTGGAATAGCTGTTATACTGCACTAGATGATTTTTTTTTTTTTAAGAGGATTTGCCTTCTTTTTAGGAGAAGAATTGCTGAAAAGGGATCAACAGTAGAATCGGAGCAAAGAGAGGACAAAAATGTGAGTTAATGAAGATGGTCCGCACACCTGGGAGTGGGGGGCCCAGCACATGGCGCCCCTTCAGGAAACCACGTCACAGACTGGTTTGGACCCAATAAGAACCTACCGTTGCTTATTTCTGTACTCTCAGATATTACAAACAGCTGGTTATGAGTGTATGACTCATGATTTTAATGACATTCCTGGTAAAGCGTGGGGTTGTGGGGAAGGCCCTGCGTTCAGGCCTGAGAGTTCAGTTCTTTACCCAAGTCCAACGTTAAATGAGTGAGCAGCCTTTTACTAGGTTTTTTTCTTTTGGTTTTGGTTTTGGTTTTTTCCCCTTAGGGTCTCCATCTCCTTGCATTTAACATGAAGGACTAAGACTAAATCAGCAGCACTCAAATGTTTCCCCCAGGAGCCTGTGGTTATTAGCTGTTGCCTCCTCCCCAGTTCGGCTCAGCTTCATCGGCTGTGTAGCCTGGTGTGTAACAGATAGTAGAATTGTGTTTCCTGCTCCACGGGGCCCTCGGTGGCACCATTCCCCAGGTCCATCCCTTACATCTGGCCTGATGGCAGTGGCCAGGCAGTTCTCCGAGAGAATGAAGATCCCAGGGAGCTGCGGGGATCGGGAGGGGGCAGGCGAGAGAAGGGAGGCGCCGTAAGACTGAAGAACGAACAAGCGGGGAAATGGCAGAGAGAATAATGGACATGGAAGTGTACACTGACTATGTACAGCAGGTTTGTGATGTTATTAACATTTATTTCTGTGTATTTAGGAAGATTCAGAGCCCATAACTTCTAAGGCCTCTTCAACAAGTACGCCTGGTAAGTTCAGGAGATATATTTTGAGTTTATAAGCTTACTCTGTGTGGTGATGCTCCCCATTTCCCCATGTTTGGACCAAGCGACTGCTTGGTTACTAAAAATGCTAAAAGTTTTTGTTCACACTTGAAAGCACTGACTTTTTTTTCCCCTGCCTTTTTGTTATCCAAGAGGCAGCTGTAAATTTCTTTTTGATACTGGGAGACCCATTAAAAGCCCAAGTTTTTCTCTGATGAATCTTTCTTTGAAAACCGTCATTTTTACACATCTCCTGTGTATATCATTGATAGTGATTTGAGGTTATTCACTAAAACACAGACAATGTGCCATCAGATGAAAGGGACGTATTTTTAATAATTGATTCTTGAAGGTGAAGATTGAGCATGTTAGCTGGCATTGTCTCTTTCAAAATATTCTCACGTTGTGAAGGTTGTCATTTTACCCACCCGTACAGCTAACAGTGCTCATCCAGGGAATAAAGCTCCTAATTGGTAAGGGGAACATTCTTGGATTTAGTGGAATTGAGAACTCACGCATAGGCTGTGTTGCTTAGAACATTAACGAAATGTGTGTCCCTGGGGGTGACCAACGAGCACCGTCCCCACGATGGACCGTGGCGCTGCTACACAGACTCAGGCCATTGCTCCCCGTTTGACTGAAAGATTGGGGGGCGTGGACTGTCCCCGGCCTTATTTGATTAGGGGTGAAGCGGCATGCATGCATTAGATGATTCTGGTGAATTCCTGTCTAGAATGGATCCATAGAAAACCATCATAGAGAAATTCCTATATTAATTCCTACCTACCTATTTTGATTTAGGGACTCAGTGCCTCCGAGTTCCACTTTTTAGAAAACATACTTTCCTTTTTGTAGTTACGGTTATGCCCTATTTGTAAAAGGAGAAATCACTCTGGTTGTCGCAGTGACCGATCAGTAGTCTGACTGCCGTGTAACAGTGGACGTTGTGACTTTGTGAGTGGTTCCCCCTCAGCTCTGCTGTGTCTCCTCTGGACGGGACTCGAGTCAGTTTGCATTATCTTCACTAACAAACTGTCTGGCTTGTGACCCATTTATTTTACTTTGTCTTTCTTTCATAAGCCAAAATTAATTACAGATGCCGTTATTAATACCCTAGGCATTTAAAAACTCAACTATGACTTAGGGTCACAGACCTTTTAAAATTTGAAAACAGTAGAAATCCTCTCCCCAAGAAAGGAAAAATCATATTTTTATACAGATCTGCTCATCATTTCAAAGTTTGTGTGAGTTCCCGGAAGGTTATGCAGAGACCCCTGGTTAAGGGCTCCTTTGTATGTATCCCCTTATTGAAAATGCAGAACACTGAAGCACAGGTGTTCCCTTTGTTCTGTGTGTGTTTTTGCGTGTGTGCCTTAGGTGGTAAATTGAGGATTCATCCGCAGGGCTGGGGCTTCTCTTTTCACTTCTTTCATTTAGGGTTGGTTGGGTGTTTTTAATTTGCATGGCGCCAGACACATGACAAGCCAAAAAAGGCCTGGGTACCAGCTGGGAGGATGACACACACACACACACACAGACACGAAAAGTTCATCTTTTACACCCACGTGTTAAATATTAAGTAATGTGTCAGAGGACAGACATCGTATTGTCTGGGGTCACCGGGGTGTCTCTAGAGAGGAACGTCATCCTGCTGTGTGTTGAGGGAAATTGGTCTGGCCGGACGCAGAGGCAGAGGCATGGGTGACGCTGCCCAGGTAGGGAGCTGGAGACGAACAAGAGGAGGCTCGTCTGCCTGGAAGGGAGAGTTTTTGTGCACGGGGGGCGGTGGGGGGGGGTGGAGTTTGGAAGAGTGAGTGAGAACCAGACTGTGGAAAGCTTTTCACGAAATGGTCGGGAGTTTGGTTCTGGCCAAGCACCTCAGTTGGTTGGAGCGTTGTCCCAACGTGCCAGGGGTTGCAGGTTCGATCTCCGGTTTGGGCGTGTGCAGGAGTCAGCCAGGGAGTGCAGCAGGAAGAGGAACAACCAAAAATCTCTCTCTCTCTTTCTCCCCCGCACCCCATCTCTCTAAAATTATTTACAAAAAAGAAAAGATCGACACTGTAGACTTTCTCTTGCAAGCAGTGGGTTGATGGTTTAGGAACAGTAAAAATGGCCGTGGTGGGAACCTGGGAGGGCTGAGGTGGGGAAACCGGCTCAAGACGATCCGTGCAGTGCCAGACCCTGCCGGAGGTGACCCAGCCTGTGTCCTCCTGTTTAACAGTCTAAGCGGGTCCCAGGGGAGCTTGTCACCCTTGGCCTTTGTTCTCATTTTAAGGTCGGAAATTGTTAGAATCCTTACAGATTTTAATTCAAGTTCAGAATTGAAATGAAAATTTCCTTGTTTATCTGTATTACTACATAAGCCTGTATAATGGTATTTCGTGTTTTATCATTTGTTTTACACTAACTCTGGGCGCATGTCAGATGGGTAGTAACTTACGCTCTTTGTTTTTAAAGAACCAACGAGGAAACCGTGGGAAAGAACAAATACGATGAATGGCAGCAAGTCACCTGTTATCTCCAGGTACCAATGTTTCTTCTAGGTCTTACATTTTTATCTCAAAAAGAAGGTGACGCCTACGTTTGTACGGTAGAAACACGGGTGGTAGTCTTGAATTTGTGCAGTGAAGCAAAGAAAACCTCTGAGTTCTGCCCCTTGCTTACGGCCAGCCAGGTTGTCTGAAATTCCCATAGCTTTTCTTCCTCCTGGTTTTTTTATTTTGAGAGCTTCAGAACTACAGAAAAGGTGACAGAATGGCACAGTGAACACCCAGAGACCCGTCGCCTGAACACACCGGTTATTAACATTTCGCCACATGTGCTTGAACTCTCACCTACACACCCACACACTTTTTCCCTCCGAATTAGTTGGAAGGCAGTTGACAAATCTCTGTTGCTTCACCCTGAATACTCTTTGTGTGTTGTCCTAAGAACCTGGACGTTCTCTTAAGAAACCTCAATACGATTGTCATTCTCCAGGAATTTCACACTGAACAAAATAATATTACAATGCGTGATGTATTCACGTTTTTCTCATTATTCTGAGTGACATTCTGTATTTTGTAATTGTAATTTTTTAAAGAAATTTAACATTTTAAACTGAAAAGCAGCTGGAGTGAAAAGACTACAATGTGTATGAAAGAGCAAAATAAAATTCTGAATTGGTAGAAAGATTTCTGCTCTCTCGGTTCAAAGTTCTAATTACAATCAAGTCAGAAGAAATGGTGCCCAGAATCAAGAGTAGTTAATTCAGGTTTCTCCCAGTGGCTGTGTGTCCGTGGTCAAGGAAATTCAGTATTCCTTGGCTAAGCACAGTGTGTTATCATAACTAGATTTCTATCACAGGTTTGGAACACAGATTAATTTTTGGGGGGTGGTATATGAGGTAGTTTAAAGGTCTCCCCAAAACGAAAGCTATTTTTCCTAGAGACTCAGGAGTTTTTTGCCTTTTCTTTCTGAGCTATTTGCCTTATTTTTGCCATGTAAAGTGCAAAGTTGACTCTACTTACAGAAGTCCAATAAAGAAAACTTCAGGGGTGGACCTCATATTGTTGATCTGTTATGCGTCAGTCTAGATCTGCGTTGGCACTCGTGGTGGTGAGGTTCTGTTCTCCTGGGGGCGACAGGGTTTGCCGAGGACACTGCTGTCTAAGCACCCCGGAGAGGCCGGGCCTTTCGGAATGTGGAGGTGCTTGTAGTTTCTACAGTGACTGGGAGAGGGTCCGGCAGAAGTAAGGCCTGCTGGGCTGTGTTTGATAATAACATGGGTGTAATCATTTATAGTTTTAATTCGAACATGTCACCTAAAATGTGCTGTGGTGTACGCGAGTGTGAGATACTGTTACATCACAGAATTAACATGCTTCTGATTTGGTGTTTGAAGAGGGGTGTTATTTGTGCCTGACCCTGTATTTGGGCTGTAGAGGAAAAGGCAGGGATACGTTTTGGTGCACCTGCTTTTCCAGGGTCTGCGAGGCCGAGCCGATGCTCTTGTCTTTGAGTGCGGGCCTGGCCCCAGCCCGTCTGCGGCAGCACCTTAGGAAGCTCATTGATCCCGTGCAGATCGGAGAGCAGAGCTGTTACAAAGCCATTTTCCTTTGGAGGTGTGAACCGTGACGAGGAGGATTGTTTCTCCTCTTTGCCACTCCTTTTCGTCCAGGCTGCATTGGTAGTGATTCCGTTGTGAGCTTGCCTATGGCTAAACCAAAATTCCTGGCAGAAGTGTCTTAGAAGGGACAGGAAGAGGTTCTCCAGATGGATGGTGCTCCTTGGTGTGTTTGCATTCATTTAGTGCAAGAAAAACTACCCGAAAGATTTTTCAGACTTTATCTAAAGGAAGTTCAATAAGTGTTCTGAAGGGCTGCCCTTTGAAACGTATTTTTGTCTGTAGGTCAAGGGAATAGTGGTTCGTACTGTGCACCTGTGTGTGCTGTGGGCACGTTCTGACTTGTAGGTGTCTTTCCTGCCCCAAAATAGAAATTCTGAAATGCCCCATTATTTCCTGACCACTGACTTCTACAGCTTTCGATCAGTTTTGTGCAGCCACGAATATGTGTGATGTAGGTCTTATAATTTCACCACAGGCACTTCTCCACCGTAAGCGATTTTGAAAATGTGTCTGAAAGATAAGAAGTGTGTTCCTTTCCTTCCTAAGTTATCTCCCCTGCTCCCTCTGGAAGCACGTACGCTGGCCCTTTTATGGTTTTATTTCAGTGTGCCTTACCCTCGCGTGGCGGTGAAAATTCCCCTTTCTCTTCCAAGTCTCTGTGTCGTGACTGTGGCCCGTGAGTGTCCTGTGATAACACACAGGAGATGCCAGCTCACGCTGTAGTTGCAGAATGAAGTCATCAGATAGTAGAGTAAACGGAAGGCCGCTGTGGTTAAAAATGCTTTGAACTCTGACCAGAATGAAATGCTGGGAAGCTTGTGGTTTCTTCCCGTGATTTTTACTAAGGGCTTGCAGGTCTTGTGTTCGAGATGGAAAAAGTGTTCTCTGTACGCCCCCTGAGAAGAGGCACTTTTCTGTACTTCAGGCCACGATGATTTTTACCGTGCTTTTATTTGAGACTGAATAGATTTGTATTTACTCTTAAGAGAAATGTCTTTGTGTTGTGGTGCTTGCTAAATCTTTGTGTTGACATCTCACTGTGTCTGTAGTCTGTAAAAATGTCTTTAAAAATTCTCTGTGATTAAATGAACCGTACCCTCACATAATTAGAATTAGTCTCCAAATACCTTCTATTTTATTGGAAAAACTTATTTTAAGGTTAGTGGACTCCTTTAGTTCTTATTTTGTTTGTAAGACTAAAAAACCTATAAAATAATAGCAGAATGAGAAATACTTTTCAAAGCTCTGTTGTTCGCCCCTTTACATGGTCTCTCCCCTTCATAGACGGGATTCTCCAAGGAAAAGTCAGATGGTTTTTGACAACAGACCCTATGATTCATTACACAGGTACCACTCTGATGTGCCTTTGTGGTTTGAGACTTTTAAATAACACGTTCAGGCTAGGGCTGAGCTTTTTCTGCACGGATCGGTAATCACCACGGGGCAATGCTTAGGAAGGTCGACTCATGTTCAGCTTTGTCCAGAGCACTTTTTTTTTAAAACTTCTAAGAGATTTAAATGAGGAAAGTTAGTATTCACTTCCCCACCATCTCTTCCTAGTTGGATTAGGATAAGTGTAAATGGTAAACATACCAGAAACACTAGAATGGGAGTCTGAGGCCACACGTATGCGGGCTGCGTGTGGGTTATACGTATGGGACAAGGCCTTTAAAAAGTGGCGTCCAGACCCTATACCGATCGATGCGGGAACGTGGGGCAGTGGCACAGCCGCGGTTATGGATAAGTCACTCTTCAAGGGAAGTTTCTGTTTTCTAATACTTTGTTGTAAATTGAGTATCTTTGACGACCTAGCATCTAACATCCTGAACAGTGTGTTTTCTAGGATGAGTCCTATTATCCCATTTTTTTTAATCAAGAAAAACTTAAGATGTGAACCATGTATTTCTTTCCTCATTGAAAAAAATGGCAATTAAAAAAAATTCTTTCTTAAAAAATGCTTTAACGTAATCTCCAAATGCTTACGTTACACTGAGAATTAATTCGGCAGAATGGAGATACAAATATTGTAATATATCTGGAGGCAACACTGTCATTATAAAGCAACAAAAACCTTTGAGAAATCCTCGTGTTTTGTTACCAGTTAGGGTGCAAACCATAGGTTAAGAACAGCATGTTGTTACCAGCGTCTGTTTTTAAACCTGCACACCAGGTCTTCTGGGAACAAGAGCCCGGTATGGAATGATGTCTGCGCATGAGCAAGGGGTTCCGTAACCAGACTGTATTTGGCCAAAGTGCTCTTAGCTAAAGTTGTTTTCATGGCATCGATGATTAAAATACTTGATAAGTTTATTCCATCAGCCCATTAAATCTGCACAAAACGTTTGTATTATAATGGTCAACTCATTTTTTTCTGCCTTTTTTTTTTTGAGGTGATTTAATTTTGACAACCAAAAGACTCAAACTTGTTAGTAGGTAGAGAGACGGCACTAACGATGAGATTGCTGCTCATCTTCCCGGTTGTCTTGCCGCCTTCACTCATAGAGTCTCCTGGGACAGTGTTGTCATAAACTTTTTTTTTAAAGTGGTGATTACTTCTTTCCTTCAGTATGAAAAGTTCCCCCCTGTAGTTCACTGTTGTGGTGGTGGTGGTGGTGGTGGTGGGTTGCATGTTAGCATGAATTCAGTTTCTTAAGAATTGCATGTTTCCACAGTTACTGTATAACAATAATAATTTCTTGCCTTGTTCAGTAAATATGGATATATTGGTAGCATACCTCCTGGTTAACAGGTGGTAGTTATTCACATGAATTTAAGGATGTTCGTTTTCTATCTTAGGAGAAATATTCAGCTTGCTGTACCATTTAAATATGAACAGTAAAAGAAAAGGCACAGTAATTCATGGCTTAATTCTGGCGAGCAGGAGTGGATAGCGTGGGCAAATGAAATTACACAGCAGGTCGACCTTAAGAATATTGTACTAGACCAGGCTTTACACAGAGCGCTGTGGCTGGCCTACTGTGCATCTTAAGTGGCTGTGGCACTGAGCAGTCTCCTCTGCAGAGTGAAGATGCATCCCCACGGGAAGCAGGGAACTGTGTCGTGCAAACCTCCTCACCCCCACAGGGCCTCCCTCCGTCCTCCTTGAACGGAGCGTTCTGAAAGTGACTTTCCTCGCTCCTGCGAGCGTATGCAGCATCTAATGCAATGTAGTCGGTTGACTTGCTTCGCACAACCTCTGAAGCAGTCACGTGTTTGAAGTTAAAGCAGATGGGCTCAATATTTCACCTTCGCAAGCAGTGCCTGTGGGTTCGACGTATAATATGTCTTACAGAATGAATATGCCTTACAACTTTTTACAAAGTTATACCTTTGTAAAGATTATTAATCCCTGTTCAGGTGCTCCGGCAAAATTGGAACGAGCCGGTGGATGGCTTTCCTCTGCACTGAGCCGTTGGCCCCACAGCACCGAACCAGTGGAGTTCCCACTCAGTATTTCCTCCCACGGCCAGACTCAGAGAGGGAGCCGTGGCTGGCTTAGTTGATATTGAAACTTTTGCTTGAAATATACCTAATCCTGAAGATGTCTTTCTTTCTGTGAAAATTTTGATAGAAGCTAAACTTTTGAAAGTGCAGTAATCAGCAATCAGCTTCTGTGTGGCATTTCCTTGTTAAAAAAAAAACAAAACAAAAACAAAGCAAAGCGAGTTTATGGGAGTAGTTAGCCAGCCACACTGTTCAGATGGTATCTCCAAAAAACTTCATCTGGAAATGACCACATTGCCCATTGGATGTGAACACACCTTTAACGTAATAATCACTTTTTCCAACATGTTTATTTGTTCATTGTTTTTAATGTTTGAAATGGAATTTAAAAATACATAGAAATTGTACTTGCTGAAAAATCCCCCGCCCCCACACCAAGGTGTAGAGTTTGTAAATTGCTTCGTATCAGAGTAAAATATTTGGTTTTATATGTTCCCTTCCACTGGTCTGTTGGCTGTCTAGTAGACGATGTACCATTTCAAACGAAGGAGAAAACAGGAATGTGTCACTTGGGCCTCGGAGGTTGCAGGTGGCCTTTCGTCTCTGTCGTGATCGACACGTCACATGTTACCTGGTGACCTTACTCATGCACAAAGAATGTAGCCTTCTACTCTTCACTGAACACGTCTTATCATCTTAGCTCCTTTTGCTCGTTTCTTTACAGATAACTGGAAATTCTGAGAAAAGTGGAAAACGCTTTCTGTGTTATGTTCTAGGCAGCCCTGCAACTTTGACAGTTCAACCGAAGGTGTTTTGGGAAATGCATTGACGTCTAGGGCTGGGTTGGTAAAGTCACAGCTATTCATGAACTGCGTACATTGCCCGAGTGTTGCTGACCTGTCCCGGACATTTCGTTTGTACAGACCAAAATCCGCACCCTCGTCACAGCCCAGTGCCAACGGAGTCCAGACGGAGGGACTGGACTACGACCGGTTAAAGCAGGTGGGTGGGTGGGGCCGGCGGTCCCCCATTTGCGCTGCCCCTTTTTAAAGGCATCTCGAGTGCGTATATCTGACAGCTCATGAACGTATGTGAAAAGCACATAGAGTTAAGTTTTCTGCAAATTAAACAGCAACATTAGCACCATATTATTTTTTCGGATTCTCATGTTCTAGTGTAGTGGGTTTGCATAAAGTTTCAGCGGAGGCAGAGGGGTGGGCAATGGTTTGATGGGATGGTGTGTATTTTAAATGTCCGTGCCTCGTGTGTATTTGTTTAAAAGGGGAAGCAGGCTCCCACTTCTCACTTCCATTGGCAAAAACGGACCTGGCAAATCTGGTTTTAGTGAGCATGTGAGGAAAATGGGCACTCTTGTGTATTTCTGCATCCTCGGAAACAGTTGGGAAAATAAATCAGAAGCTTTAAAAATGTCTTCGCTTTGACCCTGTCAATTTCACTTCCAAGAATTTAGCTAAGAAACTATCATAGAAGCGTATAAATATATAACACAGAGGAGGGCCCTGCAGGAACCGTGAGTGAGAGAATAACAGTTCACAATGAATTGTGACTGCACACTCACATTAGGTGAAACATACAGGTAACCAACACGATAGACAGTTATCTCACCTTTACTAAAAAATTATCGTCCATATTTCGGATATATGTGCATTATATTTAATACCTTTGTGCTCAGGAAAAAAGTGGAAGGAGTAATAGATGATGAAATTGTGTGGAGCTTTAAAATATTTTATTCCTAGAAGACATAAAAAAATATATATATTTTTTAAATTGGGTCCTGTCCAAAAGAATCAAAACGGCCAGCCGTGACATCTTAGTGAAGTTGACTGCCAGCTTTGCAGACCTCAGTGCAGACGGGTCTCTAAGGAAAAATGTAAAATCTTTGTCTTCTTGCTCTGCACTGGAGGGTCGCCTCAGGAAATAATGGCGATGGGAATCACTCTCCCAGCATGGGCGGGCTGGCTGGTGGACCCAGCGCCAGACGAACCTGGGGTTGGGTTCTTTGCGTAACATTGTCCCCAGGTCCTCGTGGAGTCCTGTCCTGTGCTCGTACTCAAATTCTGCACGTATACAGGGCCCAGAGAAGTTCAGTTCCCTCAGCCCCCCCCAACCCCCCCAGTCAGCAGTGAGTTGGGGTTAGAATGCAAGTCCTCCTCCTTCGGACCCCACTTTCCCCATCTGCCACTCGTTTTTCTTCAATGCCAGCAACTATTTGTGTGGGGCCCACAAAGGCAACAGTGTTGCAGTAATAAGTTCAGAATCAACTGGGGTCACAGAGGGAAATCCTGGCAGTGATTTCGGAGAAACCTGGTTTGTGGCCAGCAGAGCTCTCGGGAAAGGTGACTGGAGTTACATAATTTGGAAAGGAAGCGGGTGGTGCTTGATAAAGCTCTTGTTTTCCTGTGTGGTAAATATGCCTTTGTTTTCCTGAAAAACATTTGGAAACAGAGCACGGGCACACGCTTTCGGGGAAGTTCCTGGCTGGCTGAAGAGCGATGGGGAGAGGCTGGCTCTGATTTGAGTGCAGATTTTCAGGGTGATTTGAATAAGGACGTCTGTTAGTCCGTATATTAGTCCGTACAGTGATTTTTGCACCTCGGTTTTCTCATTGGTCAAATGGAGGAATGAAACTGCTTGATAGTTTCAACCTTATTTTAAACAGGAAAAGCTGAACCTTAAACACAGAGCAATTCAGTTTTACTTGAGGTGTGTGCAGTATTCAAGTCGCATAATTCAAAATTAACCTTCCCTAAGGGTAGCTGTTGTTTTCACCACTAAAATTGGTTACCTTGTCAAAGCCCCTAAGCTTTCGTATGACACAGTCCTTAATCTTTTTTTTAATGGTGGGGGGGGTTTCCTTATTTCAGATTGAACTTACAAGTATACATTTTGCTAAAATATGTAAAGATGGTGTGGTTTTCATGGCAGAAGGAGGGTCCTGAGCATCCCTATTAAATGGAAATATAACACGGGCCCGATAAGAACTTTGAAATGTCAAGTAGCCATGTGAAATAGGTACTGGGAAAAATGTGAAATTTCCTACTAATAATTCAGTGTGTAGAAAATACTTTAAAATTAACTACGGAGTTATTACACATCGTTTTCTTCATACTAAACTTTCGAAGTCATTTAGAGTGCATCTCTTCTCAGGCCAGACGCACTTCAGTGCTCACCCGCTGGCTGTGGCTGCCACCTGCCATGCTGGGCCCCCCCTTCATCTCCCCAAGAGAGCGGCCGCTGAGGGCTCTCCAGGGGAACCCTGGATTCCTGGAAACTCGGGGCTGGTTCCCCGGGAACCCTGTGCCTCAGACCAGATGATAGATTTGCCGAGAGCTGATTGTCCAGTTGACTTGTCTTCCTCCTTCACGCATCTTCGAGGAGCACCCTCACGCCGTGCCCAGAGGCTGGAGTAAAAGCAGAGTCTTCGTCTTTTCTGGAGGCGTTGGGAACCATGCCTTTTTCTGGATGGGAGAGTAATTGGTCCAGTTTTAGGAAGCGTCTGTTTCATGTCCTGCGAGGCTGGAATAAGCAAAGATTGGAGAAGGAAAACTGTTAAAACAAAGTTTCCCAATGCTGGTCTTGTGGCGCACAAATCGTGACTCCAGAAACCAAAACCGAACATCATATTTTAGACGTTCTTAAAATTTTATATGGGCAAGAGTCTTTTGGCAGTAATTTTTTTCCTGTATTTCTCATGTTTTTCTCTCAATATTCCAGGACATTTTAGATGAAATGAGAAAAGAATTAACGAAGCTAAAAGAAGAGCTCATTGATGGTGAGTGTCTAAACACATTTGGTACTCCCAGGAGGTAAGGTTTAAGAATAGCAAGTTTTTAAGCAAACAGGAAGAACAGGGACAGAATCAGGGATACAGAGAGTGTTTGGGTGGTTGCCAGATGGTAGGGAGCAGTGGGGGGTTAAGAAGTACAGCTAGGTAGTTACAGAATAGTCAGGGGGAGGTAAGTGCAGTACGGGGAAACGGAGTAGCCAAAGAGCTTATATCCATGACCCATGGACATGAACAATGGCGGGGGGGGGGGGGGGATTGCCCCAGGGAGCCGGGTGCTGGGTGGAGAGGGGCAAAGGGCGAAAATCAAGACAACTGTAATAACATAATCAATAAAATATAATTTTAAAAAAGAGTAGGAAATTTTAAGAAAATGCAGATAGTACTGGTCTGTGTGGCTCAGTTTGTTGGAGCGTTGTTTCATAAACCGAAGGGTCGAAGGTTCTGTTCTGGCCATGGCACACACCTGTGTTTCAGGTTTGGTTCCCTGCACCCCCCGCCCCCAGCCCTGTCAGGATGTGTAGCAGAGGCAACCGATGGATGTTTCTCTTTCACGTTGATGTTTCTCCCCCTCTCTTCCTACCTCCCATCCCCTCTCCCTAAAATCAGTAAGCATGTCCTTGGGTAAAGATAAAAAAAAATAAGATGCAAATAAAGTAATAGCCAGTTTATTACTTGAGGGCATAAAATAGATGCTTTTCCATAGTGTCCTGCCCTTTGTTTGGCACGTGGGTGGAGCCTGCTCTCCTTGCTGTAAGGGAGACAAAAATAGGGATAAACAGGATCCCTCTTTCCGTGGCCGAGCAGGAATTGCGGGAGAACTAGGTAGGCAGGTCTTTCCCTGGTTACCTTTACTCATCCATTCCATCGCATGGCTCTCTTGTCCCCGGCCTCCCAGAAGGAGAGTTGTCACCGGGACTAGAAAAGGGAGAGCCAAAGCAAATATACACATACGGAAATTAGCATCATTTTTGTAATAAGAAAATGCAAAGATCGTGCGATGAAACACACAAAATCAGTGTGTCTTTCTGTTACTGTCTGAACACAGTCATTAAAATTTCTTAGGATTGAATCACTCATTTATTTTCTCTTAGTGTATTTGTTTTGAATACTTTTCCTTTTCCCACCCAGCCATCAGGCAGGAACTGAACAAGTCGAATACCGCATAGAGAAGCAAATGAAGGGGAGATAGGACTTTACTCTGGAGAAAGGAGAACACATCTATAGACAACAACTGTCAGCGACAACACACCCTGCGTTTTGCTGGAAGAAGATGGAGACAGTTGGAAGGAGGAAAACACCCACATGCTTGGAAAATCTTCAGACGTGATTACTCTGGCGATAAGCCATTTCCCTTCCAGTTTGCTGCTGTTTTCTGACCTTTTCAACAGGATGGAAGAGTCGGTCGCATACGAGTTCCTGGAACGGTTGTACAGAAAGAAAACGCTGATGAGCCCGTCTGGCAAGATCGCTGTGCATTGAAATATTTTCATGTCAAGATAAACTCTCTCATTTTCCACAATCCATTGCTAAAATAAAGAGGAGAAAGGCGTAAGTTTTTTCCAGAGCGTGCTGATGAAGAAGAGTTCAGCGAGTTACGCTGTCGTATTGTAAATGTTTCTCTCAGGTCTGTCTTCCTATCATTTTATTCCATGACTATTGGGATGAGCCCTGTGTAGGTGAAGATCGTCAGATCTGGAACAGATGGGATGGTTACGTGCTTTCAGAGGGTGATATTTATGAGAACGTGTCCTAAGAAAGATTTCGTCTGGCTTGAGGAATGTTAGAACGATAGGAAGTCTCTTGAGTTAGCCTTCATGCAGTTTTGTAGAGTACAACAGAAAATTCGTCCAGAATGTAAAGATTTAGATGCCTTCCTAAATCGTTACAACGCTTTACCAAATCTCTGACTCCTTACATAACACAAACCGGTGGTCAAATGTAAAACAATATATTGTAGATTTACTATAGGTTTTCGACCTTTTTTAGATTTATGCATGTGGACATTTTTATAATATAATTACTACCACCACAAAATTAGCTTTTTTAATTGCAGGCAGTAATGCATGTCACAGTAAACACGTAGCGGCCTTTCCAAGGCCTGGTCCCAGGGAAGACATTTTGTAGCATATCGGGGAGTGGGGGGAAGGGACGGAATAATTTTTTATTTAAAGCTAATTTCTGCACTACCTTTTTTTTCTCAATTCCCTGCATGAAAAATGACGAGAACTATTTTGTGGCTTTAATTGGTAAATATGTTAACAGAACCAAGTACTTAATCTCTGACATGTCTTCAGCTCTTTGTATCTGAACGTCTGTCATTTCAATGGTCTGAAACATGATTCGGCGCTTCAACCGAAGCGTGTCTTCCTGTGGGACTCAGCCGTGTGGTCCCCGAGTCTGGCCGTGACGATGACCCAGGTGCCCTGCGGGCGCGCAGGTGGTCTGGCACAGGCCGCTGGCTGCCGGGCTGCTGTTGAATTTCGTTGCGTTGAATTACTAGGACAAACAGTGAGGGGCAGCGGTCAAGGTCACAGAGGTCGTTCAGTAAGGGGAAACCAGTGAGGAGCCCTGCATTGTTTCTCTTTTAGTAAAGTGAGACTTGGGTGGTGGGAACGAGGAAGTGGATGCTCTGCTTACCACTGTGTGTGCGTGTTGGTGCGTGCACACCCGTGTGTGCGCCGTCCACTCCCTTTTCTTTGAAATTTGTAAGATTAAAATTGGGGGAAAATCCTGTCTATTGGGATGATAGTTTTTGTTTATTTTTTAATTTAGGATATCAGAAAATCTCCAGGCTCTCCATTTTGATTCATGCTTGAGTTGTTATGTGCCATATTTGCTTTGAAATCTTTGATTATTGGAAGTTTTACTAAAATTTTGAAGAAATCCCCCATTTTCACTTGCCTTCTGCTGATAAGCCAGAGCGAGTTGACAGCACAGTGTCCTAAATGCTGCCGAACCGCAGCACGGCCATGGCAGAGGGGTTCGAGTGAGGGGATTCGTTTTCCTGGTCAACACAGTTCCTGTTTCTGTAGAAGCTTCGTTTGCAGGGTGACCTGTGACGGACGAGCTCTCAGCCAGGTCTCCGGTTCTTCTTCCTGTCAACTCTTCACCGTCTGCAGTAGTAGGAAAGGCATTGTCAACATGCAACAAGCTCGTGAAGTAATAGGAGGCATTTCCAGCCTTTATTATTGTACTTTTGGTTGTGTAAACACTCATGATACCAACGTGTGTGTCCCCTATCAGTCTGGTCAGAAGTAACTTTTGACTTTGTTAAGTTCAGCAGCTTACAGGAGGAAGAGGACTCGGTGCAAGTGGTCCAAAGTGAGACGAAAGACCACAATAAAACGCGGGGTCTGAAAAGGAAGCTGGTTTATGCACTAAACGTTTTGTGCCTTGGTCTAATATTACCACGATGTCTGTGTAAAATGACGAAAAAGAACCAGTGTTAAGTCATGTGCATTTTCCATCGTTCCGCATCCCCCCAGATTGCGCAGTGTGTCCTCTCCTCACAGTGGTGGACTCACTGTGCGCATCTCCTGCCCCGCGTGGCAGCCGTCACTGTTAGAGATTTCAGTGATTAAACACGAGACACGGAAGCCGAAGTGACTGTCCTCACCCGGACTGTGTGAGCGCTGCATGGCGATGGTGGTTTCTTGTCCTCCATGGGATGTCTGATGTGGTTTCGGGGACCCTTTCTGACCACAGGAGGGTACTTCTGTCCTCAACACTGTGACCCGACCTGTGACAAACCTGTGCTGTTCACTATGTCAATGGCTAACAAGTCAACTGCAAACCAACTGAATGTACAAACCTCAGTGCTGGTGCTGAAATCTCTGCAGCAGAGTCACCCCGATTTCCGAGTTTGTTTCGAAATTCGCGAGCATCAAGTGTCAATCAAAACCGAGGCTGAAACACTAATGAATGTCGACTGCTCACGCGTTAGGTGTCCTTGTTAGAGTTTTCGGTTCTCGGCTGTTTCCACTGTACTGTTTCATTGACATTTTCCTCCACGCTGACTCCGTTTGTGCGATTGAAATAAAATTGCAGTATATACGTGTTGGCTTGTTTGTGATGCTCAGATAATCTTCTAAATGCATCTGTCGGTTCTGAAATAAGTTCTTTCGAATGGGGAAAAAAATCCCTTCTCAGAGTCCGTGACTTCGCTGCTTTAAGTTTACATATCCATCACTGTTCTTTAAAAGAGTTCATAAAAGTCATAAATACAAAGGACTATGGGCAAAGGGAATATGTGTGACGTGTCTACTTTGTCTGAAACTACTGTTGGCTGTCCCCAACCTGTCCTTCCTTTCTCACAGCCCCCCAGGACCCGGTGTTCTTACTCCTACAGTGGAGAGAATGAACCTTGTTTAATTTTACTCCATTTTGTCCCGAAGCAGTCAGTTACTTAAACTCATTGACGCAGTTAAACTCTTTCTTCACACAGTTTGCCGGGCACACGACACCGTGTGGGAGAGGAGGCCCTCGTCCAGCATTGCATTTTAATCACGGTGACATCTGTGTGTCTGTAGTGTGTGTTTATACATGGTGCCAATTTCTGGAAACCTGTATGCAGTGGTTCCTTTTGTCCGACTCCTACACAGTGTGAGTTCTGAGTTCCATTTTAAAAACCCAGTGTCTTCGTCAGAAACGCGGCCACGTTGCCTGTTTTGTTAGCTGCCCCCACTGTCCCCTGCCATCATCCTGTCCCGTGGACCGTGGTCCTGTCCCTCACTGGCGTCTAAAGCCACGACACAGTCCACAGCCCTAATGGTGTTGGCTGAGTTTTTTCTTCTGCCTCGGGTTCTCGCAGAATATCTGTCTATAAGCTAAATGTCGCTTCCCATTCAAGAAAGAATGAAGTAACAGATGGAAACCTTCTACATTTGTCTAGCTACAGCTTTTGTGTCTCCTGGATTTGTACGTGTTGTCAGGGCCTTTAAATTCTAAGTAGCGTTACCCTTTGAAGCACAGTTTACTGAGACAAGTTACAGGAGCTCCGATTACTTTCTGTAGCCGCGGTACCCGGCCCTTTAAATCCTATCGATTAAAAGCCTAAAGATGGCATCCCTCCAGCCTGCTGAGTGAAAAGACCCCTCTAGGAGCTCCGGTGCCTTTATGCAGCCATTTAAAGACCACTTTTCTAAGGACAGTTGCTACCGCATTCATTTCAAAGCCCCAAACCTGACCTTGGCGGCAAGGGTTTTTTTAAACAAACGAATTCGTGTTGAAAGCTTTCTTAAGAAATGCGAAAGGTTTCTCCAGGCTACATTGCAATTAGTCATGCCTAATTTGCAAAAGCCATTTACTGTTTATTTATATTTAGGTGTTTTTGAAGTCAAAACTTGGAGGTATGTGTGAGTGATCTTGTTGTAGGTCCTCGTGGGTGCATGAAGACATAGGGGAGAACATGAAGAATAGTTTTCCTCTTCAGCATAAGCACATTCGACGAAGAACCTGAAGTTGGCCGGCCCTCCAGAAAGGCCGTTGCTGTCAGTCCAGTGCGGCGGGAGGGTCTGTGATGCAGGTTTTCTTCGTCCCCATCCCAGTGGGCCGTGGACCGGGTCCTCTTCGTGTCCCAAGGAAACTCGTGAGAACCAAGGTTTTCATATATGTGAATATTACTGGAAAAGTGACACTGTGAAATCTGAAAGTATAATTGACTAGAAAAGGAAAAGATATTACTGCAGTCCATTTAGGATGGTTAGTCCTGTTCAGCATCGACATCCATGGGTGCGTTCATGGTAAATCCTTTCCTGAACACCAGTGGTGAATTCACGGCGCAAATTGAGTCTTGGTAAGAAGATAATACCTGAAAGCTGCCTCAGGATGAACTATAATTTTTCTGTCTAAATGGTTTCTCTTTGTAAAGCAACAGTGCTTGTGAGAGGGTAGGTAGGTGCATGACTGGGTCGTCATAATTTAGGATATTAAAGGAATTACTGCCCCGTGTACTGGTTATTGCTGTGAAACCTGAAAAAAATCAATGTACGTGACAGTTGAGAAAATGAAAAAATTGACTCTCAGTCATAGATGTTGTCGCACGTGAGGTCTACACTGAAACATTAGCTTCGTTTAAAGCATGTTGTAGGCCTTCCATACCTGCCTGTTAACACAGAATAAAGGAAACTTCAGCGAGGTGTTGGAGGCACCGGATCACAGTTGGTGAGCTGGGTCCCACATCCGTGAAGCGTGTTAAACACACAGAGAAACTCAGTACAGCAGCCCCTCGGGAAGCTGCTGGGGCCGCAGGACCCTGGGGCTCCGGGCCGAGGGAGGAAATCGGGGCCGGAGGCAGGCAGCTGAGAGGAACCAGCAAACCGTCTTCCCTGGAACCAACTCCTACTAGTTAGAAAACTCTTCTAGAAAGTTCTGACAGAATACAGTTCTTCATCTTAACCAAAATTACCAGCGAAGCTTCTGTATTTCCCGAAAGGACTACATTTGCATTAATTTCATTACAAATCTGTATACAAATGGCAACCTTGTGGTTTGTCATGTTACGAATTTGATTTAACTTTTCCCCTCTTCAATGCCAAGATTTTCCTCAGCAGTGGATAACAAAATATTTAAAGTATATGAAGAAAGAAAGCCACTTCTGTGGCTCCGGTAGGAAGCTTTGTTTATACCTTGGCTAATCAAGAACTTACTTTGTTAAGAAGTTACTGATAGGCGGGGGAATGGTGTTAGGGATGGGTTTGTTTTTCAGGAAAAGCGCCTTCCTTGGCTTAGGACACATGGAAAAGCTCGTGGTTGGTTAGATGGAGCAGAAAACGGCCTTGGAAGAAAAATTTCCATTGGTTGGTATTTACACTGAGGGATATTCAGTATTCTATCAGATCCAGAAGCTTCCATTCAAATCTATAGAAACAGGGAAAAAATGATTGTTAGTTTACATTTAAAATACATGCAATTGTAACCACAGGAGAAAAAGTGGGCCACAGAAGGCATTTTTTAAAATGAGATTCCCTTAGTCACATCCATGGGACCTCTAAGTCCCCCTTTTAAAGATTAAAGGCATCTTCAGTGTTTTTGAATTGAGTTCATTTAAGTTTCAGGTGAGGAATAGCGACTTAAGATTTTCACCGTCGCCCCCAGGCTGAGCCTGGGTGTGGCCTCGGTCGGCCCCGCCCGCTGCGGCGATGCCCCGGGCCCTCGGACTCCGTGCAGGTTGTGTGTTCCTGCCTTTGCACAGACACAGGTCGATAACTGCACCCCGCACGTGCCTGACGCAGGGTGGCCGGTCCGGCAGGCGGAAGTCACCTGGGAGGAGTTCCCGGAGACCTCGGCTAGTTCAGTGCTGGGGTCGCTGAGACGACGCAGAAGAAAGCCGCATTAAAATCTGACAACGTGGTTTTTACTCATTAGCAAGAGGGTAGGAGTTTCAGGCCTGAGCCAGGGCTGGATGGGATTTGGTTTCCATAGATCGATCATTTTACAATTCCATTGCTAAGAGTGAATTTTGGGGGGACGGTGTTTTTGTTGTCACGGAGAAGAGCCTGTTGCTGAGAGTAGAAGGTGGTCAGCAGAGTCCGATTTAATGTGCTGGAGTCTTCACGCTGAGACTTGGGCGGCGCCCCTCTGTCCCTCCCGCCCCTCTGTCCCTGTGCCTCCCTTTGGTGCGTGGAGTGGGTGGTTTGGTGGGGGGCCCACTGGCTGTGCCGGTGGTCCGCTGCTGAGCTAGCTGGTCAGCTGTCCTTGGCTCTGGTCCTCCATTCAGTGTGACTCCTGGTCCATTTATTCTTTTTCAATCCAACAGAAGGAAAAAAGGTTCTGATTTTATTTTAAAATTTTGACCCCATTCATTGAAAAACGCCTGTGAATGCCAAAGGAGAAGTTGATGGGATGGTGACCCCAAGGTCAGCAGTGAGCCAGGAGGGGTGTTAAGGAGGGGGACCCGGTTCCTCTGCGAGTGAGTCGTGGGCTTGAGGGGGGCGACAGGGCCGGGGGTGGGGTCGCTGCCCCCTCTCCTGTCTGGTTCCTCCACCTGAAGACCACTTGGCCGTTCTCCAAGACCACAATGACATGTTGAGTCCATGAGACGGAGGCCCCTGTTCCGGTTCTGATACTTCAGTGACAGGAAGCCCTCCGGGCTTTTTCTGGTCCAGGTGCAGCTTCTGAGTCAACAGACCCTCCAAAGCTGGAGGGAGTGGAGCCCGTGTGTTTCCTGAGGGGGCAGGGTGGGGGTGCAGGGCAGGTTCTTTGAGTGGTTTCCTGCCCCTAACCTGCCGGTTGGTGGTGATATCATCACTCTGCCGTTGAGAGGGAAAATACTACCCTCCGTGTTCCGCCCTTATTGTGTGTAAGTGTGTAAGTTGTCCTTCCTTCCCCATTCCTTATTTTAATCCAAAAGGCGCTGCAGCCATTTCTTAAAGACCAGGTGGCCTTTCTGAGCCATTTGAGACTTGCTCAGAAGACAGATGCGTGTCGCAACGTCAGAGATCGGCTGGAGAGCTGGGGTGGGGGGTGGAAGATGAGTTACGTCTCGTGGGTGTTCTTTTACTCTGGTTCTTGGTGAGTGGGTGTGATTCGGAATTCTTTTTTTTTTTTTTCCTTTCTGTTAGCAGTAAGACATGCCTTTCATAATGTATGTGTGTGGTTTTTCTCTGGGGGCAAAAGGAAGTGTTGAATTCATTTTCAACAGGAGTGAATGAGCCAGAAAGAGAATTCTATCTTGAGACATCTGTAGTGGATGCAAGATAATTCTGTACTAGTCAATGATGGTATTTACATATTTTCATAGAAAGTCTTTTTTTTTTTTTTTGCTTGCCGTGGCTGGGGAAGCCTCCCGCAGTCTGTAATTACAGACACACTGCGTGTCTGGGGCCTGTACCTGCAGGGGAGAGCGGGTGGGTTAGGGCCCGCTGTGCGTGTGCCGTGAGCAGAGCGGGCTGGGGGGGGCAAGTTCACGTGTGAAGCTTTCTGCAGCTTTGGGTCTGTTGTATGAGCATGTGCATGGATGTGGGGAAGCTTTTCGATGCATTGTATGCAGATTTTGAGGGTGAGGGAGCCAGCGATGCACGGTTTCCTTGATGAGGCTGAGAAGGTTACACCCA